ACAATTTTTCATAGTTTAAGCTTAAAAGTAACTGAAGAAACTATGAGTATTTATGTCAGTCATAGAAAACAATGACAGATCGAATTAAAAAGATAAATACCAAAGATGTAGGTGTAGATGTTTTAATAAATGCTAAGAGATACTTTTTCAAACATTTCTTATAAATGTGCACTGACCTTGACTGTCTAATAAAAAGTGGACATAACTTCCACAGTTTAGAGGCATATTAATAGAAAGAGGACTCTCCACATTTCCTGGATTTTACAGAAGGCATTTGCAGAAGATCAGCATCAGCAGTATTGTTGTTTTTAGAAAGCCAGCAAGAAGAGCTTCACATTAATCAACTTGGCTTGTAACGAATCCATGAACAGTCTCTTAGCGTCGCTCTGAGACAGAAAAGCTGAACTTTAAAAATAATTGTCAAATGATAAAGAGCTACTTTAATGACTGTGTTTACATGTGGGATAAAACTGAGCTCAGAATCTAAGATTACACCCAGGCTTTGTACTTCAGGTTTGGTATGCAAAGCTAAAGCACGTAGCGTCTCATAAAGCAAATTTTGCAAGATCTGTTCAGTCAGAAATGCTGTCCAGTTGACTTTCTCACTTGTTACTTCCATTCAGTGTGTGAGATAAACAGTATTAAGGCAGTGGGACTGTGATTAGACCCCTTTTCACTCTGTCTGTCTTTCTGTGCCTCAACAATGGAAAATCATTCTCACCAGCTTGATTTTTATGGATGTTTGGATGTTGACATATGCTAGTAAATGTTATATATTTGGGACGCTGTGCAAAATGTAAATAAAAGCAAAATGCAATGATGTGCAAATCATTTAAACCCTATATTTCATTGAAAATAGTACAAAGACAACAAATCAAACGTTGAAACTAAGAAGTTTTATTGTCTTTTTCAGGGAAGGCCTTGATTATTTCAGCAAGACAATGTTAAACCACATTCTGCATGTATTACAGCAGCATTGCTCCATAGTAAGAGAGTCGGGGTTCTAAACTGACCTGCCTGCAGTCCAGACCTGTCCACCCACTGATAACTTTTGTAGCATTATGGAATGAAAAATACAATAAAAGAGATGCTGAACTGCTGAGCAGCTGAAATCTTGTATTAAACAAGAACAAGAAAATAGTTCACTTTCTAAACTACAGCAGTGTCTCCTCAGTTCCCAACGCTTACAGAGTGCTGTTAGAAGAAGAGGTGATGAAACACAGTGGTAAACAGGCCCCCGTTGGCTTTAAAAAGAGCGGTGGTGATATGAGCTCTTCTTTTGTTTTTCCTGATAGGATCAAAGCTGCTACATGTTGTACAAGGTGTAGAAAATCCAATACTGCTGCACTCTAAATGAAACATTTAGCCTGAGCTGTCCTGAGTGTGGGAATGTGTGCAGTAATTTGCATGTGTTTTTTATGGCTCAGTTTACAGTGGATTATAAAACTGTGTACCAAAGATTAGCAACTCGGAACATCCAACATATGATTACAGAAACAGCCCATATACACCTGAGTAATGATTTTATTGTTAACTTACAAGAGAACTTAAATAATGCACTGCCAAAAAAATCTGAACAAACCAGACAATCTTGAAAATGAACAACAGATCTTACTTTAAAAGATTAACAGACTAAACTAGATGGATTAAAAACTTAGAAACCTAAAATTTCAGAGAATTATTTTGGTATTTTTTGGGTCAATTACAATTGCAATTATAAAGTGTTCACATGTGATGGTCACACATGCCATATGTCGTTATGTTCAGGAGACCCTGGGCTACTCAGATATGCCATTGTTTGACATGTAAATGCTAACAGAAATTTGATATCTTTATGAATTTGGGTCATTTCTGATCAAGCATTTACCCAGCGCCTGCTAAACTTTGTATTTTTTTAATTATAGAGATCTTGAAAACCAGTGCAGTTGTAGTTATCTTTTCAGAAACTGTTAGTCTGGAGTGTCTGTGAGCTGGAAGTGCAAGAATTTTGATTCATGCTGAGTCCTAAAACTCTGACACACAGCAAGACAGACTTTATTTTAATTACAAATTGAGTTGCATATTTAATATCAGATATTTTTAAGACTCAAAATCAATGTAAACTGAAAGCCCTTTGTTTATAATATGAAGGCTGAAAAGCAGAGCTGTAATATAACAGTACTGAGTGGGTTGTGGGTGATTTTGGAGCTGATCTCTGGCTGATGGACGGTCACAGGTGGATGAAATCACTCTGGATGGTGAGGCAGAGACTGATGAGTGATCTGATGTGTGAATCATGTCACTGTTTTAACCCTTTGTTGGAATATTAAGGCCAAACAGAACAGCAATAATATCAGGATTTTAGGTGATTTTTTTTCCGAGCCGAATTACTCACTGATGCTGACATCACAGCTCGACGATGTCATGTATGCTAGTTAGTGGGCGGGTCTGCTGAATGTCCTGATATGTGGATCATGTTTGTATCTTAAACCATTCTGAAGTTATGAATGCTAGAAATGACCTACTGTCTCCGGGTCCTAAGGGTTAAAACTCGCAATAACACTGAATTCTTCAAAGAACTAAAGTTGCCTTGAAATTTCATCTTTCATGTTCGAGAGATCTCATAATTAACACACATACACATATCTAGTCTAGTCTGTTCATGTTTAAATAAAGCAAGGTCTAATGTTAATGCTAATGTCGGTTTTTCTGGCTTGTTAAGATTTCATTGTTTGCATCTCTTCATTTCTTTTGAGGTGATGAAGCAGTTTATTATCATATGAGTGTCTTTTTAACACTTTGTGCCTCATTGGGAGAATTATTTTCAGGAATGCAGCTTATTTTAAGCATTACAGTATTGAGTTAAGACACATTTAAAGACATTTTTGTTTATTTAAAAACAGAATTGGGCTTGAGGCTTTGTTAAAGCATTCCAATAACGAGAAGTTTTGCACCAAACAAGCTTTCAAGAAAAGTTATGTGCTACTTTTTGTAAACTAAACTAGTCTTACTTAAATCTAGCCACAATGTCTTGATCCAATGAAATATTTTGGAGAGATTAAGATCATTTACAGCACATTTTTTCTTATTTTAAGAAATCTTAATTAAATAGTTTAACTATATTGACAGATAATTTAGCTTGATTCGGGTGCTTTCTTTCTTGATTTGGTTTAATTTTTTTTCTTTTTTGACACACACACACACACACACACACACACGCTCACACACACACGCTCACGCACACACACACACACACACAGCACACGCACACACACACAAACACGCATATACACACACACACACGCACACACACACGCACACACACACACACACAAACACGCATATACACACACACACACACGCACACACACACACACACACACGCTCACACACACACACACGCACACACACACACACACACGCTCACGCACACACACACACACGCACACACACACAAACACGCATACACACACACACACACACACACACGCACACACACACACACACACGCATACACACACACACACACACACACGCACACACACACACACACACACACACTCTCTCACTGTCATATACAAAAGTTTGAACATCCCCAGTCAAATTACATGTTTTGTTGAGTACCTAAGTGAAAATAAGTGAACACACTTAAATATGGCATCTGGATATTTTAGCGCACAATTTTTTTTACTTAGTTTAAAAAATAAAATGTGCCATAACTTTTGCACAGGCCACATTTGATGTTTTGATTTTTTCCCTCAATACATTAATTTAGCAAATAAACAGTGATTGTGCCATAAAATGTGCAGAAGTGTGTCTCTGTAGAGGATGTGTTGACTTATTTTCACTTAGAAAATCAACAAAAAGATGTTATTTGACCAGGGTGGCCAAACTTTTGCAAACAACTGTAACTTGACAGAAAATGATTCTAAATAACTTGATAACTTCCTCTTGTTACCAAAATACCTACCAAAAACCCTAACAATCCCTGTCAGCACGTTGTGTATAATACCGAAGTCTGTATTTTATTAGTTATTATTGAATGTATAATATACACCTATTCTACATAACATTATGACCTCCTCCTTGTTTCTACGCTCATTGTCCATTTTATCAGCTCCACTTACTATATAGGTGCACTTTGTAGTTCTACAGTTACAGACTGTAGTCCATCTGTTTCTCAGGACCCCCTTCCTCACAGAGCAGGTACTATTTGTGTGGTGGATCATTCTCAGCACTGCAGTAACACTGACGTGGTGGTGGTGTGTTAGTGTGTGTTGTGCTGATACGAGCGGATCAGACACAGCAGTGCTGCTGGAGTTTTTAAACACTGTGTCCACTCACTGTCCACTCTATTAGACACTCCTACTTTGTCAGTCCACCTTGTAGATGTGAAGTCAGAGATGACAGCTCATCTGCTGCTGCACAGTTTGTGTTGGTCATCCTCTAGTCCTTCATTAGTGGTCACAGGACGCTGCCCACAGGACGCTGTTGGCTGGATATTTTTGGTTGGTGGACTATTCTCAGTCCAGCAGTGACACTGAGGTGTTTAAAAACTCCAGCAGCACTGCTGTGTCTGATCCACTCAGACCAGCACAACACACACTAACACACCACCACCACGTCAGTGTTACTGCAGTGCTGAGAGTGAGGGTCCATGGGGGTCCTGACCACTGAAGGACAGGGTAAAAGGGGGCTAACAAAGTATGCAGAGAAACAGATGGACTACAGTCTGTAACTGTAGAACTACAACGTGCACCTATACAGTAAGTGGAGCTGATAAAATGGACAATGAGTGTAGAAACAAGGCGGTGGTCAGAATGTTATGCCTGATCGGTGTAAGTAAAGGTGATTTTGAGCGGTAGTGCAGCAGTTCCAGTAAAGTGTAGAATCAAATTAATGCAACAGGATTTCTCCATTTGGCCAGCTGTTTCTTTCCCACACTCATGATAGTTCTGTAGCTCTTTTACTGCACGCTCCAGGATGTGAGGACATCATGAGGAAGTTCTTCTAGGTCTCATTTGGGGTATATAAACCATGGTGCCACACGGTGGGAGATGCAGTGGGAGAAAGATGAAGCTTGAAGCGAAAATTCTGCTTCTGTCTCTTCTGGCAGGAGTCGGCTCCTCAAGTAAGAACACTCTCTACTTTGAATTTCTGGATGATTGTGGTGTTATTGATTAACATTAGTGATTTGCAAGAAGGAAACAGTTCTGACAACCTTACCATGTCTGTGTTTATCATTTCAGCAACCAGCTGGTTTTGGACGACAGGTAAATATCAGAAAACATGATGCTGATGCATGATGAGCTCATGTACTTCTTTCAGTCTGTCAGTTGACCTTCTCACTTAATGTTTCCTTTCCACAAGTGAGAAGAAATAGTATCGAATAGTAAATATTAAAAATATATGCATGATATATAGGAATCATACATATATGTCTTGAACACATACGCATAACATATAGATAATAAATATATGTCTGATAGATGGTAGAATACCTCCCAGTACAGTTCTAATTAATTGTTATGTCTGCTTTTAAATATTTAATTAGGGAACAATATTTTCATTTATTTCATGTTTTAATGATGTTATTGCATATCTTACAGTGTGTATGTTTTCAAAGGTTAGTCATGTAGCTATTATACTAATGTCCACTTCATTAAGAAGTACACTGTAAAAAGTGGCTCATCTGATCTATTTAAAAAAAAATTACTTCATGTGGTAACAAGTAAATGAACTAGTTTTATTCAACTTAAATTTTTTTTTCAAATTTATTCAAAGTATTTATTTAGGTTGAATAAAACTAGTTCAGTTGCTTGTTACCACATGAAGTACATTTTTACGTAGATCAGATGAGACACTTTTTACAGTGTATGTGGATGAAACAAAGATGTATAAAAACCTATTATTATTATATAATGTGTAACATTAAAAAAAGTTATTATTGAACATGAAGCTAGCACATATGAGTCATATATACCATCCATATATGAACGATTGTTAAATATATGTTACACATACATGTTTATACATGGCTGAAATACATATTTGAAACTGGCCAATTTTAAGTTCATCATAAGTGTCAATTATAATTTGGATATATGCGAAAAAATGTCATATTTCAAATGCATATATTACCAAATATCTTATTTCCATATGGGATTATGTATTGTTGTTGGGGCTATTAGAGCTATGCCTTCAGTTTAAGCCACAAATGTCAAAACTCAACTCAAACAAAAACAAAAGATACTGCTAGTTTCTGCTAGCGTCCTAGTAGGATTCCTAGTAGCGTGTTATGCTGCCTTCAAGTCATGTTGGAAATATCGTGTTTACGAGATGGATGCACGTGAACGGCAGCACAATGTTGTATTTGCTAATGGGAAACTCAGATTTTTCAGTGAGCCCCGAGTTTGCAAGTTGGGGGAGTGTCACAAACAAAAAAAACAATGATAGACGCTGATAAACTCGCCATATTTCAGTTATTCACCAGTCACAACCTTAAGACCGCAGACTAAACCATCCACACCTAGAAATACACATATAATGTCTATGCACAGACTTTCTGTAATAACAAAAAAATAAAAGTAAAGCAAAAACATTATTTCCACTTATTTCCAACCAAAACCACTTGAGCACAAATCAAGTCATACTTACGACCTTCGAAGTCTGTTTGCAATTCTGGATCAAACACGAGTATTTAAATCTTGTAAAAGCCTTTATGTGTTTTAATTGAAACGTATATTTTGTCTTGTATGTTGCAGTTTTGCAGTGAGTTTCAGTAAAGAGCTCTAGCGTAGAGCTGCTGCCACCGCTCACTGAAACTTGGTTAGACTAAGGATCATCATCATATCTAGAACCTCCAGAAGTGCCTTTTCTTACAAAAGTAGTCCCACACATTGTAAATAAAAAACATAATTTGTTGATTCAGTTCCTGATTATTTTGGTAGTTAATCAAATGTGTAAGGCCTTTGGTTCAGCTCCTAAAGGCCTCACCAGTGGGAGAGCCTGCTTGGCTATAGCTATCTAGATACCAATGGAAAAAAAAGAGTCTGACTGAAAATATTTCTGTTGGACATTTCAAGATTTTAACCCTTTATTTCCAACTAAAACAATGACAAGATTGTTTGCTACACAGCTTGCAGTTTAAATACAGCAAGCATAGCATTTTAATAAAAATGAACTAAAAATGATGTGTTTACTGCTGAAAACCGATCAGTTGTGGCCTAAACCCGAGGCCTCTTTTCCTATTAACGTAATTCAGACCAGTGATGCACTGATATGATTGTTTTTCTCTCTGTTAGCCTTTGATTCCTGCTGGTCAAACTGTGGCTATGAGCTCAGCAGCTGTTCCTGCGCAAGCTCCTGTGTGTACAACGGAAACTGTTGTCATGATTACAGAGGTGAGACAACATCTAAAATGTTATAATGCTGGGAAAATAGGATCTCCTGTTGTAGATTCTATTGTGGAAATGACAAGGGATAATGAAGTTGTGCTGGACAATGTCGGCTACTAGGTATACTGAGGCTAGTCAAAAGCACGTGGAAAAGAGTGAGGCCATGCTTCATTTGCTTAATTTCCAGTCAAAACAGCCATTAAGTACAACCCCATTTCCAAAAGAGTTGGGATGCTGTGCAAAATGTAAATAGAAATAGGATGCAATGATATGCAAATCATGTAAACCATATTTTTTTAAGGGAAATAGTACAAAGACAACATAACAAATGTTGAAACTTAGAAAAAATATTGTTTTTTGAAAAATATATGCCCATTTTGAAGGGAACCACTGCTGTATTTTTGAAAGTGAAATGTTTTCCTGTTCTTGTTTGATTTTAGAATTTCAGCTGCTGAACAGTTTTGGGGCTCATTTGACATATTTTGTATTTAATAATGCGCCAAATGTTACCAGTAGTGACTGGTCTGGGCTGCAGGCAGGTCAGTTTAGCACCTGGACTCTTTTAATACAGAGCAATGCTGCTGTAATACATGCAGAATGTGGTTTGACATTGTCTTGCTGAAATAATCAAGGCCTTCCCTGAAAAAGACGTCGTCTAGATGGCAGCATATGTTGCCAAAACATGTATATATCGTTCAGCATTAATGGGGCCTTTACTGATGTGCATGTCACCCATGCCATGTGCACTAATGCCCCCTATACCATCATGAATACTGGCTGTGCAGTGATAACAAGCTGAGTGGTCTTGAGCCCGGGAGATACAGTGTCCATGATTTCCAAAAAAGAATTTCAAATGTTGATTCGTCGAACCACAGAACACTTTTCTGCTAACTCTCAGTCCATTTTAAATGAGCTCAGGCCCAGAGAAGGCAGCAGTGTTTCTGGATCCTGTTTATATATGGTTGCTTCTTTACGTTTTAGAGTTTTAACTTGCATTTGTGGATGCAGTGATGAACTGTTTTCACAGACAGTGGTTTTCAGAAGTGTTCCATGCAGTGATTTACCACTACAGAATCATTTTTAATGCAGTGCCACCTGAGCACCCAAATATCACAGCAAATACTGGTTTTTGGCCTTGTCCCTTACATACAGAGATTTCTCCAGATTCTCTGAATCTTTTAGTGTTATTATGTACCGTAGATGATGAAAAGCAGAAGGTCTTTGCTATTTTATGTTGCACTATTTGCTCATGCAGTCTTTCACAGAGTGGTGAACCCCTCCTCATCTTTACTTCTGAAAGACTTTTTATACCCAATTGTGTTACTGATCTGTTGCCAGTTAACCACCAGGTGTTTTTTTTAGCATTACACGACTTTACCAGTCTTTTGTTGCCCCATCCCAACTTTTTTGGGATGTATTGTTGGCATCAAATTCAAAATGGGCCATTATTTAAAACAATAAATTTCTCAGTTTCAACATTTGATATGTTGTCTTTGTACTATTTTCAATGAAATATAGGTTTTAAATGTTTTGCACATCATTGCGCATCATTTTGTTTTTATTTACATTTTTACAACTTTTTTGGAAATGGAGTTGTACAAGTTATTAAGTACAAGCGTGTCCACACATTGTCTTTATAACAGGTTCCATTCTTTTCAGGACACCTGCTTTCAGTTTTTCAAAGAAATCTGCAGGGATTTTTTCCAACCTCTAAAGTTCAGTCTTAGAAGTTGGTTGCATTTTCTGCTTCTCACAGTCCAAGTAATCCAAACACATTCAGTGATGTTGAAGTCTGGACTCTGGGGTGGCCAGTCCATTGTTCTGAGAACACCAACAGCTTCTTTGTTTGGTTGTACTTGTACTTAATAACCGTTGTGACTGGAACTAACTATGGTTACAAAGTGATATTATTTAGAATTCCTATTAACGGTTTAATCTAAATAAAGTAAATGATTTCAAAATGCCGTAAAGAAGATACTGGACACTGGACATTGTTTATTTTAAATTCCAAAGTCTGAATTTGGACTGAAATATGTCACTGTGTTAAAACCGATAGCTGTTCACAAACAATGCAATAAACATATCTGACGTTTTCTGTAATCTCCCTCACAGATTACTGCTACCAGACAACACACGACATACTACTCACCACAGGTACAGTTCTAGTTATTATGAAGATGATGATAGAGAGACTTTTGACTGAATTATGTGTATAATTCCACTGTTTTTGTTTTTAGGTGTAGTTGGGTCATGTGGTGGTACCTATACCCAGCAGAGTGGAGAATTTGCCAGCCCCCAGTACCCCAGCAACTACCCTAATTATGCTCACTGCTCATGGCGTATACAGAGCACAGGAACGAAGATCATACGCTTGGCATTCACCTACGTCCAGTAGGCCTTTCCAGTGATTTCTTTGAGAACAATTATTTCAATTTAATCCCAAAGTGAACGACTGCAAAACACATCAGGCTTTACTGAATCAGTGAACAGTTTGTTGGTGCCAGTTGTTCGGAATACTTTGAAATCAAAGTCAGCTAGATCACCACAGTACTGTTCTTTTAATATAGAACATTCTGTGCCAGATCTTACAACAATCATAGCAGTGCCAAATCCTGAAATACAGTCCAAAAATAAAGTTACTTTTCACTAGTGATATTCAAAAAACTTGCCAAACATATAAAAAAATCACTTTAAAAAATTCACTGGTGGTTTTGGATAGTAAATAAAATGACCATATTTGCACTGTAGACATTGTGACACCTGGTTCCTATCACCACCACTGTAAAAAAAAAAAAAAGAAAACAGAGCTAATTTGTCTATAGTTTCACATTAAACCACTCTGCGTTACTATTTCAACAACTGAATTGTGGAAAGCAAACATAATTCTTCTTTACATGCTAAATTTGGTGAAGAAATGTAGTAAATAACACAATGCATTAATTTTTGTCACGTGAAATGTAACGCAGCTGTGCAGATTGCTTTTTAAGGTGGTTTACATTCACTTCTGACACCAGTGTAATGTCATTCTCAAAAAGCAAATCTTAGCTAAGTGTTTTTCAATTAATGCATCAAACTACTACTGATAAGCGCCTCGAGTTAAAAGATCCATAATTTTCATTAAGTTACATTTTTGGACAACCTCAGCCACTAGGTCTGTTGAAGCTCTAGGTGTAGCTCACATAAAGACCAAGTACAGTATAGTGCAAAAGACAGACCTACGCAAAGTTCAGTCTTAGAAGTTGGTTGCATTTTCTTTGAAACTGAAGTATGAACAGTCCATTGTTCTGAGAACACCAGGAGCTTTTTTGTTTGAATGTACTTGTATGTAATGACTGGAAATTAAATGAATGAAGGGTGGTCTCTAATTTTTGTACAGTACTGTATATAAAGGCAGTTTAGTGATGCAAACAGAACACTATTCACTCTTATGTTACTATAGGAAGTAACTATAATTCCAAATGATGTCATTCAGCGCTTTTATTACCTGTTTAATCCTCCAACTTTTAAAAGTAACGGTTTTAAAAACTGAATCAAAAATTCAATCACTGCATTAAAAAACATCTGAACAGTGTAATGATGGTTTTTAGTTTGGTATTTTTTTAGTGTGTATTGCATTTCATGTTTTTTCACTGTTTTCCCTACTTTTCTTATGAGAACGTCTTAATGTAGATTTTTTTTCCATGTTCTAGAATAGAATCAGGTCCAGACTGCAAATATGATGCCGTCCGTGTGTATGATGGTCCTTCCACCTCCTACCCTTTACTGGGGGTACTGTGTGGATCCCAGACAAGGACCTTCTTTTCCAGTGGGAATGACCTGACTGTGGTTTTCTCCAGTGACAGCAGTACTACCTACCAAGGCTTTGTCGCTAATTGGGTCTTTGAAGGTGAGTGACCAGTGCGCCTCGGTTCATTTTGTTTGGATTCTTTATTTATGCAGGAAGTCTAACACCCAAGCCTCACCGGCATTTAAAGTGGGACAAATAAGCTTCATGCTGTGTTCCTCTTTTAATGAGAGCAGACCAATCAAGTGTAACTGTCATGAATAATGGCCACAAGAGTGCTTCAGTAATTCAGCAATTGTCTGCCATGCTCATGATTTTAAAAAAGGTCCACAAAGCACACAGTTAGTGGACCGCCAAATCAAAATACTGAACAGTATACACCGATCAGACATAACATTCTGACCACCTCCTTGTTTCTACACTCATTGTCCATTTTATCAGCTCCACTTACTATATAGGTGCACTTTGTAGTTCTACAGTTACAGACTGTAGTCCATCTGTTTCTCTGATACTTTGTTAGCCCCCTTTTACCCTGTTCTTCAGTGGTCAGGACCGCCATGGACCCTCACAGAGCAGGTACTATTTGGGTGGTGGATCATTCTCAGCAGTAACACTGACGTGGTGGTGATGTGTTAGTGTGTGTTGCGCTGGTCTGAGTGGATCAGACACAGCAGTGCTGCTGGAGTTTTTAAACACCTTAGAGTCACTGCTGGACTGAGAATAGTCCACCAACCAAAAATATCCAGCCAACAGCGTCCTGTGGGCAGCGTCCTGTGACCACTGATGAAGGACTAGAGGATGACCAACACAAACTGTGCAGCAGCAGATGAGCTATCGTCTCTGACTTTGCATCTACAAGGTGGACTGACAAGGTAGGAGTGTCTAATAGAGTGGACAGTGAGTGGACACAGTGTTTAAAAACTCCAGCAGCACTGCTGTGTCTGATCCACTCAGACCAGCACAACACACACTAACACACCACCACCACGTCAGTGTTACTGCAGTGCTGAGAATGATCCACCACCCAAATAGTACCTGCTCTGTGGGGGTCCATAGGGGTCCTGACCACTGAAGAACAGGGTAAAAGGAGGCTAACAAAGTATGCAGAGAAACAGATGTATAAGGATGCATGTATTTGTAGATGCGAAGAACCTCACAGACCTGGCTTGTAACACACTTGCCCATTCACTCACATTCAGCAAGCTAAACATTCTCAACAAGGGGCTGCTTCTAGCTTAAAGCAGAAGCTGCATAGAACTCCAGTTCTTTCCCCTCTAACAGTCCTACAATTTCTTCTCATTCTATGACTACACATGATCCGAAATAGCCAAATCATAATTTTAAAGCATTTAAAAAGCATGTTAGGTAAAGTTGAGTAGCCTTTTAGAGCCATTACAGTATTTTATGATAATTATCACACTTTCAAGAACTAACATGTGATGTGCACCATTGCATGCAACAGCATCAGTGTATTTAAGGCAGAAAATTTCATAAGAGACCTCATTGAAAAGGTTCATTCAGAATGCTATATATGCAAATCCCTGTTGTTGGAAGAAAACCTCATATCTCCATTTTTGACGTTTTTCAGTTTTTGCCATAATTTGAAAATACCTGTTGCCCTTTACATTGTCTATAAATTTCATGATGAATGGACTAAAAGAAATGACCCAAAAAGGCTTGGTAAAAAGTCTGCTTCCATTGACTTACCTTAAAAGTAAAATGTTTTTTCTTTTCCTGTAAAGCATTTTGGAGATACGAGGTTTTCTTCCAACAACAGCGATATGCAACTTTTTTTTGGATATAAGAAGTTTTCATGCCAATGGCAAAAACATTTTTTATTTTAATTTATTGTCTTTGTAATATGTCCATTCAAAAATATGGTTTACATGATTTGCATATCACTGCATCCTGTTTTTAGTTACGTTCTGCACAGCGTCCCAAATTTTGGAAATGGGGCTGTAGAATGTGTGTGAAAACACAAAAGACATGAAAATATAGCTTTTATCAGGAACCACTGGAGCATCTACCAAAATGTGTTCCACTTTATCTTTACCCTGTATAGTTCCTTTAGAGTGGTCTTTCTGAACCACTCTTATTCTTATGTTCAGCTCCTCTTGTACTCACAGGTGCTCTTCTTTATCTCACAGAACCTCCTCCTTATACCACGGATCAACCACATACCACAGAAGGTCTGCTTTATACCACAGAAGTTCCACCTGTTACCACAGAAGATCTACTTTATACCACAGAAGGTCCTCCTTACACCACAGAACCTCCTCTTGATCCCTCAGTTAATCCTTTTCACACATCAAGTATTTTTTTTTAATGCCACAGACTTTTTTCTGGAATGTATAATGTTTATTCTGTTGACCTTCATCTTCATGCAAATTTGGTTCCTAGAATTCAGTGATGTCCCTCAGCTGTGAAAATAGTTTGTTCTTTAAGTTGTTGTTGTTATTAAGACAGGTTTGTTCTCTCTGTATTAGCTTCTCCCTCCTGCAGGTGGAACTGTGGCTACAACCTCGGCAGCTGTTCCTGCTCCAGCTCCTGTCAGTACTATGGAAACTGCTGCCACGACTACCACGGTCAGAAAATGTAGTTTTAAAGTGACATTTATTGACATTTAAAGGTGGCTAATGTGACTGTGTGCTGACATCTTGCTATTATTTCTCTCACAGATTACTGTTATGACACCACCCCTGATCCTTACCCCACAACAGGTACACGTTCTGTGCTCAGAGTGAGCGAACAGGTGTCCTCTGGAATATCTGTATCGTTTTGCACATCTTCATCTTTTCGTGTATTTAGGTCCTGCACTGGACCAGTAAGGGCCCACTTAGGACTTGACTAATGGCCCACAATGGGCTGCTGGCACAAGAGATTTTGCTCATTGTCAAATGACTGGCATCAGCATCTCAGCGGCTGTGTTTACATGCAAATATTTTTGCCAATCTGATTGAACACATTCCGATTACAGATTAAGACTGAGGTGTTTCAACAATCTGATGGAAAATCTTTGTTTACATGCTCACTACAAGTAATCTCATCCAATACGATGCGCATGCATGGGGAACCACTTAGAGTAAATGTGACCATGACAGCGAACATCACAAGGTCCAGTCAGAGTGAGAAGAGCAGCGCTTGTGTTTTTAATTGCTTTAAAATGATGCCAGACTCAGGAAAACGTCCTTCACATGTCCTTATTAAAGAAGGCCGAGAGGAAGACGTCGTGTTCTGAGACACATAAGCTGGACGTCCGTCCCACCGCCGCCTTTTAAAGATCAGAGCATAAACTTCGTCTCCTCTGCAGACCAGTTTCTGCTCCGCCACGTTGAATGTTATAAACTTTTTATAAACTTAAATGATGCAACGAACATGATCAGAACGGACTTAAACTTTCCGATAGGGAATGTAATCAGATACAGGCGTTTACACGGATATTATTCTTCTATTTAACAGATTATTTACAGGATTACCCACCTCGATCAATCGGACAGAAACTGTATTCTGAATGGCCTCAATCTGACTAGTCTATTCTGATTGAGGTGTACACATGGACGTATTCTATTCCAATTGAGCTATTAGTTGGATTATTAACGGATTATTAGGCTGCATGTAAATGTGGCTAATGTTGGTTGACTTTATTACTAGTTAAGTATAAAGACAACAGGTATTAATGCAGCTCTTTTAATGTTTACATAATGGAAAACAAAAAAAAGTGGGCAATTACAGTGAAGATTATGGGCCTTTGTCTTTTACAGTAAAGCTGATTATACTGTATGTCTTGACATAAATAGCCCTGCTGGTAAAAGCATACCCTAATATAGAAGGACCATTAAAAACCATTAGGATTAAAGGCTAATGGCTTGGCTTTCTAATGGGAATTGGCTTAAGGGTTTCTAATAGGGCCTGCAGTGGTTGGTGTAATGGTGTAATGTAACACCTCTGCCTTCTACACTGTAAACTGGGGTTCAATCCCTGCCTGGGTAAACACCCTACACTATACAAATAAGAGTCCTTGGGCAAGACTCCTAACACTACCTTCACCTACCTGTGCAAAATGATCAAACTATCAGTCACTCTGGATAAGAGTGTCTTCCAAATACCATAAGTATATATATGTAAATGCTAGATTTCAGTAGAACATCTTTAGATCCCTTAGGAAACCATCAAATGCATTTAGAATCCACCACTGGTCACCTGCTAAACCATTAGAGCCCTTTACATTGTGCTATCAAACCATTTAAAATGCCAAAACACATTAGAAAACCACCAGGAACCACCAGGAACCAACAGAAACACACGGGTGTCTTAATGGTAACTATTAAGCCAATTCTCACTAAGAATCAAAATCAAATCAAACATTTTTATGGCAGGGAATATTGTTAAAGTAATTTTACAGTAGATATACCATAAAGTGTTTGATACAGTATAATCTGCCTGTGCTGTAAATGTTTTCCCAGAATTCACCACAGGACAGTGTGTAAAACTATAAAAAAATGTTTTTAAATATCATTCTGGCTCAAACACAGTACATTACTGTAGAATTACAGACATTCTTTACAGCGCGCACCGACCATAGTGGGCCAATGGGAGCATGTTTGCAGAGTAACCCCCCCCCACCCCACCCCCACACACACTTTTCTTTAGAACTATTAATTTTTGTATTTAATGTCGTATGACATCCATATGTGGCCTAAAACCACATGGGAGTTTTTAAGCTTCTGATGTACTTTTGAAAACTAATGCTGTTGTTTTATGTAGAATGGAATCTGATGATGTCAGTTATGTCAGTAATGAAAATAGTTTTACTGTCATTTGAGTTGGTGATGTTGTTGTTATTAAGACAGGCTTGTTCTCTCTGTATTAGCTTCTCCTTCCTGCAGGTGGAACTGTGGCTACAACCTCGGCAGCTGTTCCTGCTCCAGCTCCTGTCAGTACTATGGAAACTGCTGCCACGACTACCACGGTCAGGAAATGTAGTTTTCAGTAGTGTGACTGTGTAGATTTTAAAGTAAGATTTACTGACTTTAATGTGACTGTGTGTTGACATCTTACTATTATTTCTCCCACAGATTACTGTTATACAACCACATATGCTCCTGACACCACATCAGGTATACTGTCTGTGCTGAGAAAGAGGGAATACGTGTTCACTGAAACATGTAGTAAATATAATAATCATCATCATCATCTTTATTTAAATAGCACTTTTTATGCCAGTGGCAGCTTAAAGTGCTTTACAGACAGTCAATTAATGTTTAAATAATGGAACACTGAAAAAAAGTTCAGTTACAGTGAAGATGATGGTCCTTTACTGTTTCAGAAATATTTTACAGTAAAGCTGATGATACTACATGTTGTGACAGAAATAGCCCTGCTGGAAAGAAAAAAAAACATACAAACCATTAGGTCTTTCTATTGGTTCCTGGTGGTCTTCTATTGCGTTTGGGCTGTTCTTGATGAGTTCATATCACAATGAAAAGGATCCTAATGGTTGAACAGGTGAGCTGTAATTGATTCCAAACAGATTTGTTGGTTTTCTAATAGGATCCAAAGATGTTCTACAGGAAACTAGTGATCTATAATTGTGGCCATTAATCCAATTCTCATTAAGAAACAAAATCAATCCTGATGGTTCTAACCGTACCATAACATATTTGAGGCAAGATAATCTGCCTGTACTGTAAATGTTTTCCCAGAATTCAACCCAAGATGCTGTTTAAATCTGTAAAACACTTTTTAAATATCATTCTGGCTCAAACACAGTACATTACTGTAGAATTACAGACATTCTTTACAGCGACCAGTGACCAAAAATCAGATCACAGTGGGCGAATGGGAGCATGTTTGCAGGGTACCCCGCCCCCACACACACACTTTTCTTTAGAACTATTAATTTTTGTATTTAATGTCGTATGACATCCATATGTGGCCTGAGAAACCACAAGGGAATTTTTAAGCTTCTGATGCACTTTTGAAAACTAATGCTGTTGTTTTATGTAGAATGGAATTCTGATCATGTCACTTATGTTAATAATGAAAATAGTTTCACTGTCATTTGAGTTGGTGATGTTGTTGTTATTAAGACAGGCTTGTTCTCTCTGTATTAGAGTCTCCTTCCTGCAGGTGGAACTGTGGCTACAACCTCGGCAGCTGTTCCTGCTCCAGCTCCTGTCAGTACTATGGAAACTGCTGCCACGACTACCACGGTCAGAAAATGTAGTTTTATATAGAGTGACTGTGTAGATTTTTAAGTGATGTGTACTGACATGTAGAGGTGACTGACTTCAATGTGACTGTGTGTTTACGTCTAACTATTATTTCTCCCACAGATTACTGTGACACAACTACAACCACAGGTGCTCCTGACACCACAACAGGTATGTTTTCTTTGTTGAGAGAGAGGGAGCATGTGTTCTCTGGAATAATAATAATAATAATAACAATAATAATAATAATAACAATAATAGTAATAATAATAATAATAATTAAAATAGCACTTTTTATGCTGGTTGCAGCTCAAAGTGTTCTACAGACAGGTGATAAATGTTAACAGTAATACAAGAAATTATGTACTAATTTAAAATCATACAAGAAAATAACACAGATCAAATTAAGAAGACAAATACTTAAAAGATGTCGTGTTAATTAAACACCAAGTTAAAGAGATACGTTTTTAAATGTTTCTTAAAAGTTTACACTGACCTTTACTGTCCAATAAAAGGTGGACTTTCTAAGTGGAGTTTCTAAAGTTTAGAACCATAACACCTGAAAGAGGCCTCTCTGTGTTTTCTGTATTTTATGGAAGGCCAGAATCTGAAGATGTAAGATTATGTGCTGGAACATAAACAGACAGATATTCTGTGATGTAAGCAGTGCTTTAAGTCTGGTTCCATTGACTTACATTAAAAGTAAAAGTATGTTTTTCCTTCTACTGTAAAGTTATCATTTGGGGATATGAGGATTTCTTCCGACAACAGCGATTATGCTATAGTGAATGTATACCACCGTTAGCTAGGTGCAGACATGGCAAAGCAAATCCCCTTTTTCTCTCTGTATTAGAGTCTCCTTCCTGCAGGTGGAACTGTGGCTACAACCTTGGCAGCTGTTCCTGCTCCAGCTCCTGTCAGTACTATGGAAACTGCTGCCACGACTACCACGGTCAGGAGATGTAGTTTTCAGTAGTGTGACTGTGTAGATTTTAAAGTAACATTTACTGACTTCAATGTGACTGTGTGTTGACATCTTACTATTATTTCTCCCACAGATTACTGCTACACAACCACATATGCTCCTGACACCACATCAGGTATACTGTCTGTGCTGAGAAAGAGGGAATACGTGTTCACTGAAACATATAGTAAATATAATAATCATCATCATCATCATCATCATTATCTTTATTTAAATAGCACTTTTTATGCCAGTGGCAGCTTAAAGTGCTTTACAGACAGTCAATTAATGTTTAAATAATGGAACACTGAAAAAAAGTTCAGTTACAGTGAAGATGATGGTCCTTTACTGTTTCAGAAATATTTTACAGTAAAGCTGATGATACTACATGTTGTGACAGAAATAGCCCTGCTGGAAAGAAAAAAAAACATACAAACCATTAGGTCTTTCTATTGGTTCCTGGTGGTCTTCTATTGCATTTTGGCTTTTCTTGATGAGTTCATATCACAATGAAAAGGATCCTAATGGTTGAACAGGTGAGCTGTAATTGATTCCAAACAGATTTGTTGGTTTTCTAATAGGATCCAAAGATGTTCTACAGGAAACTAGTGATCTATAATTGTGGCCATTAATCCAATTCTCATTAAGAAACAAAATCAATCCTAATGGTTCTAACCGTACCATAACGTATTTGAGGCAAGATAATCTGCCTGTACTGTAAATGTTTTCCCAGAATTCAACCCAAGATGCTGTTTAAATCTGTAAAACACTTTTTAAATATTATTCTGGCTCAAACACAGTACATTACTGTAGAATTACAGACATTCTTTACAGCGACCAGTGACCAAAAATCAGATCACAGTGGGCGAATGGGAGCATGTTTGCAGGGTACCCCGCCCCCACACACACACTTTTCTTTAGAACTATTAATTTTTGTATTTAATGTCGTATGACATCCATATGTGGCCTGAGAAACCACAAGGGAATTTTTAAGCTTCTGATGCACTTTTGAAAACTAATGCTGTTGTTTTATGTAGAATGGAATTCTGATCATGTCACTTATGTTAATAATGAAAATAGTTTCACTGTCATTTGAGTTGGTGATGTTGCTGTTATTAAGACAGTCTTGTTCTCTCTGTATTAGAGTCTCCTTCCTGCAGGTGGAACTGTGGCTACAACCTCGGCAGCTGTTCCTGCTCCAGCTCCTGTCAGTACTATGGAAACTGCTGCCACGACTACCACGGTCAGAAAATGTAGTTTTATATAGAGTGACTGAGTAGATTTTTAAGTGATGTGTACTGACATGTAGAGGTGACTGACTTCAATGTGACTGTGTGTTTACGTCTAACTATTATTTCTCCCACAGATTACTGTGACACAACTACAACCACAGGTGCTCCTGACACCACAACAGGTATGTTTTCTTTGTTGAGAGAGAGGGAGCATGTGTTCTCTGGAATAATAATAATAATAACAATAATAACAATAATAATAATAATAATAATAATAATAATTAAAATAGCACTTTTTATGCTGGTTGCAGCTCAAAGTGTTCTACAGACAGGTGATAAATCTTAACAGTAACACAAGAAATTATGTACTAATTTAAAATCATACAAGACAATAACACAGATCAAATTAAGAAGACAAATATTTAAAAGATGTCGTGTTAATTAAACACCAAGTTAAAGAGATACGTTTTTAAATGTTTCTTAAAAGTTTACACTGACCTTTACTGTCCAATAAAAGGTGGACTTTCTAAGTGGAGTTTCTAAAGTTTAGAACCATAACACCTGAAAGAGGCCTCTCTGTGTTTTCTGTATTTTATGGAAGGCCAGAATCTAAAGATGTAAGATTATGTGCTGGAACATAAACAGACAGATATTCTGTGATGTAAGCAGTGCTTTAAGTCTGGTTCCATTGACTTACATTAAAAGTAAAAGTATGTTTTTCCTTCTACTGTAAAGTTATCATTTGGGGATATGAGGATTTCTTCCCGACAACAGCGATTATGCTATAGTGAATGTATACCACCGTTAGCTAGGTGCAGACATGGCAAAGCAAATCCCCTTTTTCTCTCTGTATTAGAGTCTCCTTCCTGCAGGTGGAACTGTGGCTACAACCTGGGCAGCTGTTCCTGCTCCAGCTCCTGTCAGTACTATGGAAACTGCTGCCACGACTACCACGGTCAGGAAATGTAGTTTTACATACTGTGAATGTGTTGATTTTATTATTACATTTACTAACATTTAGACTGACATTATTGTGACTTTGTGCTGACATCTTACTATTATTTCTCTCACAGATTACTGTTCTACAAGCACATCAGATCCTTACCCTCCAGGTATATTTCCTGTGGTTGAGAGAGAGGGAACAGGTGTTCTCTGGAATATGTGTATCTTTCTGCGCATCTTTATCTTTTTGTATATCTCGGTCCTGCACTGCACTTAGGATTTAACCAATGGGCTCCCTACACAGGCCACATGAAATTTTGCTCAATAGCAAATAGTGGCATCTCAATGCTGGCCCAGTTTAGGCAGGTCTAACTCCACCGTAACTGAGTGAGGGTTTTGTGTGGGTGTGTCCACAGCTCAGCTATTACTGCAGATGCTGTTAAATCACTTGCAATATATTTAAAAAATTCAAAATACCACCATTAGCTTGGTGCAGACATGACAATGCAAATCCCATAGGGCCTGAATACCAAAGGTAGCTGAAATTAGCATTATTGTAGCTGTGGTAATGACGTGTAAGATACAGATACAGATATGTAAAAAGAAAAAGTGAACTTATGAAGTGATGTTTCTACATTAAAGTCTGCTATGTATCTCGCCTGTATTTAAACTGTGAATAGTACAGTATTACTCATTTCATTGTGAAGTTTAAGTTGGAAACAAAAGGGTTAATTTCTTCAACAGCTGAGCTGAAAGTTGGCCAATCAGGACATGTTTTTGTAGCGTCTAGGGAGATATAGCTAAGTGAGCTCTCCTATCCACGCGTTTTCTAAAAAAACAAACAAACGGGGGCTGGAATAACCCCTCACTATTTCCATTTGCCGGTTTTCTGTTTCCAAAAGAGCTAGAATTCCAGTAGTGCTGACCAGAGAATTTCTAGTGAGAAAAACAAATTTGGTTCAGTTGCGGACCACCTGATTCAGTCATGACCTCGGACTCAACGTGTGCTGTTGTCGTGTGCAACAACAAAAAGTGGAAAGTATTCTTGGAAAGTCTGAGTTTCAAAGACTAGCAGACTCGTAAACATTGTTTGTGCCCTCCGTGCTACGCGGTCCGTTCTATGCAAAAGAAGAATGAAAGGAAACTTAAATACATATTCAATTAGAGGATTTATGTTTGTCTGTAAAAATAAGATATACAAATTAGGATATGTCTGAGCTTTTCCTACTTTCCACAAGTTAGTTGCTGCGTGGCTGCAGGATTTCAGCAACCCTGCAATCCATGAGCAACTCCAACAAACCATTATCTGTTTTTTATAAGGCAACATTTTAAAGAAGGTAATGTTCTTATTGATTTTACTGATAGATGTTTGGAGCGGCAGGCTGACTGGACAGCTGGACGAATGGATGGTTTTGTTATTCATACCAGTTTAGCTTTTTTTGTCATTAGCTCTCACTTGAATATGAGGAAGGAGACCGTTGGGGAACATAGTTTTGTTAAAGCTGTGGACAAACCACATCACACTTGTGATCGGTGAGGGTAAGGCTCACATAGGCACTATCCAGGTTTAGGACCACCCAGTTTACATCCTGAGGAGAACTTTGGGTTAATAAAATTCTAATATATGTATTATTAATATATATAAAATACACACACACATTTTTTATTTACACAAATTTCCACTTAGATGCAGTCGATCAGCCTAGACATGTTTGGTGTCAAAATTTTGCTTCTTTACGTTAGAGCCCCTGCAGAGAAAAACAGCTTGAATTTCATGATTCCAGCACGAATCCATGGTTTATGCCGGTCTAGTGCTGGTTTAGTTGATCACCCAGCATGGACATGGTGGTGGACCAGCATACCAGCATTCAAAACACAACATATGCTGGTTATGCTGGTTGACTAGATACACTAGAAGTCAGTAGTCAATAGTTTTCTATAAGGACATCTCCAAAAGTTCTCTCAAACACATGCAGGTCTTCATTCTTCACTGTTAAGGTTATACAGACTTGTCTATGTGGGTTTGGACACAGTTAGTCTTACAGTGGACTATAAAAAAAAACTAAACGCAGCAGGCAGCCATTTTAGACGCCAGCTAAACAAAACACTGTGTAGCTAAATGAAGGTTGCAGCTATTTTAGATCAAATGTGCTTGGCTACACAGTTTTGTTGATTTGTGTAGTTTACAGTAAATCACTCTGTGCTCTAAAGCACATCAACAATTCACATGACTTTAATGAAGACCTGAACGTGCTTTGACTAGTGACTAGGCTTTGCTAGCGCTACTATGCCCAAGTGCTAAACTAAAGAAGCAAAATTTGGACAGGAAACACGTCTCTGCTGATCACAGCACATCTGGCTTAAGTGAAAATGTGTATTTTGATTTTTCTCCAAACCATTCCTTTAAATGTGCCATTAAACCTTTATTAACCCTTATTTTGTCCTGATCTCCAGTGACTCACCCCACCTGCGGAGGACGCTTGTTTGATTCCGGGTCAATCTCCAGCCCCTACTACCCAAATTATTACCATGACAACGCATATTGCGTATGGCAGCTCTCTGCTCCTGCAGGGCAGAGGATCTTTCTGTCGTTTGTAGATCTCGAGTAAGTAGAATACTCTAAAAGAGATCTTCTCTTAATCTCATTTACTTCTCCTAGACATAGTTAAATCCTGGTGGATATTAGTGTGAGACTTAAGCCTTTTTCCGATTTTCTTACTCAGATCAAAATGAATTTACAGATAAATCGATCAGGCATAACATTCTGACCACCTCCTAGTTTCTACACTCATTGTCCATTTTATCATCTCCACTTACTATATAGGTGCACTTTGTAGTTCTACAGTTACAGACTGTAGTCCATCTGTTTCTCTGATACTTTGTTAGCCCCCTTTTACCCTGTTCTTCAGTAGTCAGGACCCCCATGGACCCTCACAGAGCAGGTACTATTTGGGTAGTGGATCATTCTCAGCACTGCAGTAACACTGACATGGTGGTGGTGTGTTAATGTGTGTTGTGCTGGTCTGAGTGGATCAGACACAGCAGTGCTGCTGGAGTTTTTAAACACCTCAGTGTCGCTGCTGGACTGAGAATAGTCCACCAACCAAAAATATCCAGCCACTGATGAAGGACTAGAGCAGGGGTATTTAATTAAAATTCAAAAAGGTCCAGTTAGAGAAAATGTCCTCAAGCAAAGGTCCAGAACATCATAATGTCTAACTTGCATTATGATTCAGTGCCATATACTGTAAACTGATTTAGCCTAGTAGGTATATCAACATCTTATGTAGTCGACAACTGAATTTCAGATCAAATGAAGTACAATTCAGTAACATTTCAACAACATTGTCAGTTTTCTCCTTTTTAGAGAACGTCATTTGAAATAACTTCCCTCCGACTTACTTTCTTCTCCGACACCTCGTCCCTCCCCTGTGTGTGCGTCGCTCACTCGAGTACACAGATCTGATTGGTGTAGCGTCACATGTGATATTTACAATGCATGTGATTGGTCTGTGACTTTCCTGGGCCACTAAATGACCGATTAAAACAGTAAAACGAAAATTAAATAATTCTCTATAGTTTATCGGTTATAGGTCCAGTTCCGCATAGGACAGCGTCTGGGTCCGGACTCGGACCTCTGGACTAGAGGATGATTAGCTCATACTGTACAGCAAGAGATGAGCTGTGTCTGATCCTAACACTACCTTCTCCTACCTGTGTAAAATGATCAAAATAGTAAGTCGCTCTGGATAAGAGCATCTGCCAAATGCTCTATATGTAAATGAAAATTAGCCTTGTAGCTCCAGTCCAAAACTAAAGAAGCTGACGTCAGCCACCAAACGTGTCTTGGCTCATTGCCTACATTTGGGGTAAGGGGGAAAGTTTACACTAGACTATTACTTTAAAAGATGGTTAATCAGCTAACGGCTCTGCGTTTGTGGCTCAGGCTGGAGCGCTGCTGTAACTGTGACTATATATACGTGTATGATGGCTCCACCACCGCCTCCTCACTGCTGGGCAAGCTGTGCTACAATGACACCACCCTCCGGGACTTCCGCTCATCCTCCTCATACATGACTGTCCTGTTCAGGAGCGACGGCTCAGGCGTGGCCCGCGGCTTCAAAGCCTCCTTCAGCAGCTCTCTGCCCGAAAATACAGGTAAACTCAGCAAAAGGGCAAACAGTACAATTGCCATAGGTGTATCCTCTGAGTCCATTCCCAATAGGGCCCTGTAAATCTAGGATAAGGTTCTGTCTTTTTTGAGCATCTACATTCACAGGAATGTGAAAAGCAAAACTGACCCTAGAGCAGCATTATTTCATAGGAGTTAAGTATGTGTGGCTGTTTAACTTCTTTTCACAGTAGCCATAAAATGCAATTTCCACCTGAGTTTATGCATCATGCATTTCTGTTCTTCAGTCACAATGTTGTTTTTAATTTCAATGCGAATGTGTATGATTTACAAAACTGCAAACAAACTGGCTTTTCATCTTTGTAGGTGTGCAAGCAAGTCAACTTCTATAAAAGAAAGCAATTAAATGGTATTTTTATTGTGGCAGTTGTTGGATATAACGAAAG